ATGTTAATCTGAATCAGTTTAGTGTTGTTTGTAAATATATTTGACAGTTTTGTAGGAATGAACACGTTTGTAATGTTTGTTCAAATTAAACCTGTTTTCTATGACTTCTGTAACATGTTTTGAATAAAATATTTTCAGTAAAAACCTCAAATCATGGCCTTTCTAAGAATCAGAACTCTCTTGTAGATATAAAGGATAACATTTAGAAAATGCAATTATGCAACTATCAAAAAAACTTCCTCTCAGTCACTGAAAATAATTTATTTACCACATTTTAAAGACTGATTATTATCTGGGCCCTTAAGGGTTAAGCCTCCTGAACGGGACTGTCTGACCTGCGGTGTGTGAGACAGGAGAGGAGAGGAGCTCAGCTCAGTGTCTGAGTCCAGCAGGACCTGACCAGCAGCTGATTCTGCCAGGATTTGAGTTCACAAACAACTCTGGTTACTTTTTTCAAAGTTGAGGGACATTACAGCTGCGCTGCTGATCAGCGCTATTTATAGAACATGAACAGACTTGCAGGAACCTGGTCGCACGCGGGGTCTGTGTTGGTGATTCTAAATTATTGATAAGGTAACCATGCTGTGGCTTCACCTGCCGCATTTTATTTTAAAGAAAGAAAAAGTTGCTTGCAAAACTGTCGCATCGGTGCTATGTGATTAAAAGCGGAGTTTTCATCGCGCGCGCACACACGTCTTCCTATCCCTGTGAGGACCACACACAGTGCTCAGCCTCGCTCTGCGCCATCTTTTTTCCACAAGTTTGGCGAGAGGTGGATATGGAGGGATGCAAAAGATAGCTCTGGACTTGATCTGGACTTATTTAAATAAAAATGACTATGTGCCGTGTAATTCTTAGAGGGGCGGGCCGTCTCGTTGGCGGGGGGGTGGGGGGTGTCCCCCTTGTACAATGGTAGGGGAAACATTGATTTAGGAGAATTTGTAGCATTCACCAAATTTTCTCGTGTTCTAAGATTTTCCTCAGATACGAACAGAGTGGTCCAGACCTGTGGTATATTTTACGAGCTGTCAGTCTGCTGTTATCCAGACGGGTTTTCATCAATAATAACTTCATCTTACATTAGTTTGAAGATATTTCGAGTTGAAAATAAATCACACTCTAGAATTATGTTGACAAGAGGCTATTCTGTTGGAATTAGAATCATAATTTTAAATGTAATAATGCAGACTAACGACTGAAATTGGTAAAATTAAAATAAATTGGCTGTTAATTTTGTTGTATAGCACTACAATATTAATATGAAGACAAATGAAGTTTTGAGACATTTTAAAATGCATTTTTTCAGAAACACATCTGACACTTGCAACGGTCGGGAGGGGGTGGTGGTGGTGGGAGGGTGGTAGCGGTGCGCAAGTGCTCTTCTTCTGTAATGATAACATGTTAGCTTGCAGCTGTCTACCTAGTGTCCTCTTGTCTTGCTGCTGTGCTGTGTCATTGAGTTTGACCAAACGGAAGGGTGGAANGGGGGGGGGGGGGGGGGGGGGGTTGCGTTGCGCGACTGCTCCTCTGAATAAGTGAAACCTATGTAACACAGTTGTTTACACTGAAATTAAAAATATTTGACCAAAGAAAAACCGGAGCAGGACTACAGAGACAGATGAATATGATTTAGATTTTTATTTCTGTGACTGTACGATGCACAGGAGACACAACTTTAACAGCAGTCGTCATTTCATTCCTCGTGTTTAAAGCAGATCCTTTAATTCCACAGCTGACACTGCAAAAATTACTTTTTTTGTGGATCTCCAAGAGCAGAACTTCAGCCTCCGAACTCGTAAAGTTCTTTTTTACATTGCAATGTCACTTATGAATGGACACGTCCTGGTATGTGGTGCAGGAAATGTATATCTTTATACGGTGTTTTTGAGGTGGTAATTAGGTAAATCACCTCTCCCCGTGCGTGAGCACCTGATACACATTCATCAGTTTTCGCTCCTCATTTACACACTTTTCCTGATGATAGAAGAGTTTGTTGAATCTGACGTGACATGTTCGTACGAACCCTTCAAACGAACAAAAGTAAGAGAAATTTAGGATAAGAATACGAACATGTTCTTGCATGAGGCCCAATGATTCCTAACCACACTGAGGTCAGTTTTGAGTTGCTAAACCTGTATGTTTTTGAACTTTGGGGGAAAAACTGGAGCACTGGTACAAAACCCATGGATAAAAATGAAAAAAATCCAAGCCCCAAACAAGACCTTAGTTGTGATCTAAACACAGGACTTTCTTCAGTACCACTAAAGCTTTCTTATAATTCTATAAGCCCACACTGCAGCAACAACATTTACCCTCATCCAGAAAAAGTTGATTTCACCAACAGTAGCTAAACCTATTAACCTTTCCCACACTCAAACACTTGAGAGGAGAGCAGATTTTGTTCACTGAAATCATTTCTATCTTCTGAAGTCTGTCATGCTTCAAAACTAAAAAAAAAAAAAAAAAAAAAAAAAACTCATCTCCTCGTTGCTTTTGCTGCTGCCAGTCTTTGAAGTTAATCCAGCTTCAAATCACAAGATAACTCTATCACTGAGGACTTGTTTACAGGATGTCTGTTTGTTTGAGTTCACAGCTTGCGAGACCATCAAAGCCTATTCTGACAACCAAACTGCCTGTGATTTTTAAATCTTTTGCTCCTATGACAACAATATTGTAGTATTTAATTAGGATTGATTGTCATAGATAGAATGTTTCATTAAACTATAAATAAATCTAACATAAAAAAATCCAGAAATTAATGCAAGACTGTGAAGAAAATAGACTTCTTTACACAAACTGCTCAAAAAGATCTAATTTAAAACGGCCATCTTCCAGAAAACTTCTCCCTCTGCTTTGAGTTAATTAAATGAACTAGTCTGTTACTGATATTACTCAAATATTATGTTTACATTTTAAGGTGATGCCACTTATACAGATTCTAGACACCTTCTACGGAAAGTAATAAACAACCAAGTAAAAAAATACTGATAGGTTTGAGAAACTAAAATTTGTATTTAAAAACATTCAACAAGTAAAAAGCAGAAATACAAATTAAAAATAGACATTCTTGACCTTTTTAAAATCGTTAGCAGAAAAATGTTTACGTTGGGAAGAAAAACATTTTATGATCACACGGCTGCTCAGGATATTGCTGGGTTGCAGACATCATGACAAGCAGACGGGGGCGAGGGCAGGAAATATATATATATATATATATATATAATATGTATGTATATAAGTACAGTCCATTTACCATTTACGTTCTGACGTCAGAGGTAACACCTCCTGGGGTGTAACCAGGAAGAGATGAACATTATAAGTTCAATTCATTATTATAATAAAAAGAAGTGTTAGTGTGTTGCAGAGTCTCTGCTCAGAGCAGAGCTCCTGTGTTTTGTTTTCAGTTCAAGGTCTTACACTGAGGCCTGCTGAGTGCTGTACCTGATGGGAGTCAGAAGATAGAGAATAAAGTTTTGACAAGAAATCCAGTTGGATTCCTGTTTATGCAGACATGCCATTTTGAACATGGCATTTTTTCCTACAGATTCATCTGACCACAGAACAGTTTTCCACTTCGTCTCAGTCCATTTTAAATAATTTTTTGAGAACTGAAGATGGAGGTGTTTCTGTATGGTGTTCATATATGGCTTTTTCTTTGCATGAAAAGAGCATTTTTGTGCATGGTACTACAAACTGTGTTTACAGACAATGGTTTGTGGAATTGTTCCTCAGCCCTTGCAATATGTCCTTGTTAGAGTAAGATCTGTTTTTAATGGAGTGACCCGTTAGGACTCAAAGACCAAAGGCATCTAATGTGGACTTTCATTTGACTTAGTCAAAGAAAATAAATATATATGCTACACGTACATTTACTGTCTATGTGGCCACAATCTTGGCCATATGTGTAGAGCTGACAGAAGTGTTGCAACAGTGAAGTCATCATACACTGGCATAACTTCAAAAGAGATATTTCCCCTGAAGCAGTTGTAGTGCTAGCACAGAGCCAACTCAGATTTATTTTTGTCCATTTCAGAACCGTCCTCCCAACCCTCAAAAAACTGATGTTATGTTAACCTCAACCTTCTGTTTGACCAAAACAAAACAACATTTACATTAGTGGTTGTGTGACTGATCAGACCAATTCAAATTTAAAACAATACAGAGCCATTGTAGTGGCCAGTATGCCTCAAAACAATTGGAAATAGTGATTTGAATGAATGATACTTTATTGATCCCAAAGGGAAATTACAGATTTTCACACAGATTAGAACCAGTAGTGAAAATCAGGATTCATCTCTCTTTTTCCTGCTGTTTAATATGGCTGGTTGTGTTGTGAACGCTGCACTTACAATCTTGGTTTCTTGCATCTAAGAACTGATTAAACCACTGTCGTGTTTTTGTTCTGTGCTCGGTCTTTGCCTGTGAAAATCAGACCAATTCTTGGAACCAACCTGGAACTTTCACTGGAATCACTGCAGTTGAAAAGGTTTACACCAAGCAGGAAAAACAATGCTCTATATACTGTACATGTGAGTTAAAGAAAAACCTTTTTCCAAACACTAATCAAAGTCTTAAAATTGAACCTAATTTGAAACTTGAATTAAAAATTTTTATTTTTGTAAAATAAAATAAAACAAAAACCCAACAAAAAAGAGCTGAAGAAATTGAATGAACTGAGAGAAATAAGACATTTTCTGGATTAAAAAAAAAGATTGAGTGAGCCCTAATGACTGTGTTTGTCTAACTCATTCTGTTGTCTTCTACCATCAGCCTGTGAGCACATCATTGATTTTTCTGGAAGAGATCCAGCAGGCAGGAAGACACAAACGATGGGCCGATGAGACGATGAGGAGCGGGGGGGGGGGGGGGGGGGGGGTTGCGTTGCGCG